TAATTGGAAAACGTATGCAAATGTGAAAGGTCTGAAAGAGGACATCGACATGACTTTGCTTCAAAGCCAAGTGATTTCATTAATCAGGGCGTTAACAACCTGATTGTAAGATGGAAAAGCATCATTGATAAGAATGGAGACTATTTCATTTAATAAATGTTTTGTTTTGATATACAAGTTGTTCAGGATTTTTCGTCTTAAAAAAAGCGAAATTAATTTCTTGACGACCTAATATGATCTTCACGTTCTTAGACAACTTGCCAGCTGCCGGATTATTAAATGTACAATTTTCACGTTCCTAAGTGCTGTTGTCAGCTACCGCATTTTGAAATGTACGATTTTCACGTTTCTAGGCACTATTCTCAGCTGCAACGATTTCCAACGCAATATATTCAATTCACACACTCATATAATAAAGATAAGTGGATCGACGTCAGGCACCTGGACCATTCAGAAAGAGACCTGGATCAAATCGTACTCCAGGCGTTGGCAAGGAAAGTGCGGCGTCTTGTAACAGGTGAAAATCAACGAACACAAAAGTCAGGGGTAAAACCTGTCCACGTGCCCCAGGCAACAGTACCCAACATGGAAAAAAGATCTCTGTCTGGAAAAACGATACAAGTCACGTGTAGACACAAGTTACTTCCATGACATATCTGTTCAACTGTCACATACTCATGCAGATGGAGAATGAAATGGGTATTCATGCTATATCATACGAGGACATACCATTCAAGACCACTGGATTTCCTTACGATCAGACTGTTGAAACGGATGCTAAAACAGTCCTCCTCGTACACTAGATAGATCATGGAAAGCATGCAAGGGGCGTGCTTGAAATATGACAACCCTATGAGGAATCCTTTTGCAATGGAGATTAGGGTGCAAGGCTGTTATAAAAATGCATGGTCGCCAGATAGATCATGACCAGACATGGTGGCATAGGCTGTAACGACGGGGTGAGACTCCAAAGTCGTTTTATTTAACATACTCAACCTCTGTATTTGATACAAGTAAACCCAGCAAAAGGAATAATCCACAATTACAAGTATTATAACTCCAAACGTTCCACACCCCTGAAAAAAGTGAAGAGCACAGTACAAGCATTCTTCTTCACATGATTAGTGTACAGTTTAGCATTTCAAGATGTTACTATGAACTACAACAATTCACCGATTGTTTTATACAAGGAGTAAGTAAAAGGTTACATCTCAAGATGTTACTATGAACTACAATTCACCGATTGTTTTATACAGGGAGTTGTAAACTTTTATAAAACAATCGGTGAATTGTTGTAGTTCATAGTAACGTCTTGAGATGTAACCTTTTACTTACTCCCTGTATAAAACAATCGGTGAATTGTTGTAGTTCATAGTAACATCTTGAGATGTAACCTTTTACTTGTTCATAGTAACATCTTGATTCAACAATTCACCGATTGTTTTATACAGGGAGTGTATAAAAGGTTACAATACAGAATTTCTAAATCACCATTTTAAATTTTTGTTCAACACAGAAGACATTGGAACGACAACTTTTGCCTATGAGCGTTTAAATTCGGTGCCCTTGAGAAGTTGAGACGGTCAGTGTTACAAGGCCATGATCTAAATACACAATAATAATAAATACAAATCTTGTTTCAGACGATCAGGAGGTTACTTAGTTCTCCTGTTATTGTGTAATAATAATAATATTATTATACAAATACAAAATAAGAATAGTATACAAGTTAAATCCTGTAAAATCCACTAACTGAACGTGGGTAGACCGATATTCCGAAAAAATTCCGCCACTAGTACTGGAGTTTGTTTTATTCTTCTTACTGTTATTCAGTTTTTTATCCTGTTTCTATAATAATAAATAATAATAATGATGATGATATTCATATTATGAGAATTTTGACATAATTTTTCAAAACATTGGAAAGTTTTCGTTACGGGTAGCAAAGGTCTCTGGAATTATTACAGATACACCGCAAAATGTTATCGCCTTAAATCCGTAATAAAACATTATACACATGCTACTACTTGTGTAAAATAACCGAAATGAACATTAGGCCTACATGTGCAATTGCTTTTAACGTTCAATTTTCGGAATATCGGTCTGTAACCCAACCGAACTACCTTACACTTTTATGTTCTAGTACAATGACCGTAAAACTTTGATACATATCTTTGTGTCAGTATAAAAACAGACGGGTGATTTCTGTATAAGTATATAGGAATGAAAATGCAGTGATTCGAACACAATCACGAGTAGTCAATGTCAGTCTAGCGTGAACAATGACTGTATTCTGCTAGGCAACATGCTTGCATATTAAATAGCAGGTAGGTGACTGGAATTTACGTATGCGTTGCGTTGCAACACGTAGTGCTTACACACTGATAAGATGGAATTTTAAGTACTAGTTGCAGTTTTTTCATGTGTTGTGCTTAAGATAAAATTTAAAGAAAGCATACCAATATTCTTACTAATGTAAATAACAAATAATAAGAAATATATATATACATATATAAACAAGAAGAGAGGTACTAATTTTTGAATTCTTACAAACAGCTATGATCTTATAGAATAATTAGGTTTTAAAATCAGAAAAATAAATTCTTTGCAGAGAAAATAATTTATTAAAACCTAAAGTAACGCCATTCAATACCGGTTTAACTTGTTTTAACCAGGTTGTGGTGAGAATTAAACAAAAGTTTGTCCTAAAACAAACTTTAAAATATAACACATAAAGAGTAAATTTGAACCCACTGTTTATTCACTCTTGGTTTTTGTAATTTTGATTTTAAAAATGATTGATAGTCAAGCACAGAAAAGAAATAATTACAGAACAGTTAAAGGTACACCTCTAAAATGGTTCTGTAATTTTTGCGCTTAGCCGTACTTAATTTTGAACTGACAAATTACAGGAAAAAGAAGCTAGTCAACAGCACCCACAACCAACTCTCGGGCTACTCTTGTCGGACGGAATAGTGAGATAGCAAAAGCTACGGCCTCAAATTTCGGAATGTATTTTTTGCGTCATAGGGCCGCAAGTCATGAATAATCAAACTTACAGTACGGGCACGCTGACCACTAGCCACGCCCTATAATACATCATAATAATTACAGAACGTTTCAAGAAACGTCTCTAAAAAACATTAAAACACTGCATAATTATTGTTTTACAGAGGAGTGTGTACGCGATTCTTAAAAACTATAAAAAATTACCACAGTTCTCAACACCTCATTCATGTAACTGCAACCAATGGAGTCTACTGAAGACGTTTTTCTAGCACTGATATTAATAGCACTTGTGCAATGGAGTCTGCTGAAGACGTTTTAGCGCTGATATTAACAGCACTTGCACAATGGAGTCTACTGAAGACGTTTTAGCGCTGATATTAACAGCACTTGTACAATGGAGTCTACTGAAGAAGTTTTTCTAGCACTGATACCAATAGCACTTGTGCAATGGAGTCTACTGAGGACTCGTTTTTCTAGCACTGAAACAGTAATTGTGAGTGTGTTCAAATGAAGTATGAAATCAAACACATCATGATACTAGAGGTTGAAGTTGTGGTAGTGCGTAAAATAATTTAGTTTATTGCTGGGGGAAATATGTCCCCTCTTGCCCCCTTGTTTCCTTTGGCGCAAGATCCTGATTTTACTTTTATTTTTGCAAAAACTGAGAAAGAAAATATATGCAAGATTACTTGATGAGCATTTCTACAAACAAATATTTGAAATTGTTGTGATTTGGTTTTCACTACATATATAACAGATGTTTAAGATCAGGATCTAAAAGTATGTCTAATGTTTTATACTACATACACGCCGATACATCCTCTCTTAACCTCTAGATTATTTTTTATTATTCTTTGAGTATTTGAAAATGTGTTTAAGAATAGGGGCATTTACGCTTACAACAGTTATATTCGGGGAAGGGGGAGAAGTTACTTATCTCCATTTCCTCAAAGGGGTCAAAAAACAGAGTTCAAATGTCAACGATATTAGATAGAAGCTTGTGAGTGGCCTAAATTACCAATACTAAACCGGTATCAGGAAATGTGTGACTGAAGAACACATGGTAATTCTAGCTTTAAGAATAAAAAAGTGATGACAGTGGTGTAATTTTCCCGATCTTAAAAAACTGACCTTTTACTCATTTTAATAACAGCTTCAGTTTTTCCTGTTGTTGTTTTTATTTCATAATTGATTTAACTGAGCGTAATTCAAAAATATTTCACATTTCTTAAATATGAAACAGAAAAGATACAATCAGAACAGTCCAATAACCAATAATGACTAACTAACGTTAAGCAGACTTGTTCCATTACGTTTTAGCCACTTTACACTTACAGATGACCTCTTCCTTCGAGACTCCATCAATTAATCCCGACTTCTTGTGTTATATTTTTAAGACAATTTCTCAACAGTGGAACTCTTTGTATGTTTTAAATATTAATTAATCAGACTTTATCCTTTCCATTCCCAGTGAACACTTTACTCCATTGAACACACCTAAGAACATATATACTTTATACAAATGACAGACAATCAATCATAAAGCTATCCATAGAATGTGAATATTAAAAACGTTGAAACATATCTCTAACCCTGACATTTTAAACTTTCGGCGTTCATCCACATAAAAATAGAAGAAACTTAAGCTAAAACAAGCACTTGTGACTTTAATCTCTAATACTGACACAGAGTTTATCAAGACTTTTCTTTAACATACAAATCTCTGATTCCAAATGTCCGAAATGTTTACAATCACAGATACCCGAAGATCATATTATATGTTATGTTATTAAAATCCTTAAATTAGATACCCAACTTACCCGCCACTGGGTGGGCCAGACTTGACTTAAGTTCTTTATTTTCCTGAGCAAGGACCATTTCCTTTGGCAACTCATCAGATGGAGAGTTGTTGGAACCACATGTTCCGGAAGGGTACTCGTACGTAGAAGTTGCACTGTCGTCAAATTGAGTGCTAAGCTGTATTTCATTAAAAGAAAAACAAAATTACTGAAGTGAAAAGAAAACGCGAAGTTTGGCATAAAATCAATTAACGAAAACATAATTATATAATTATAATAAAACATAATTATATGTACATTATTATTCTACAAACATACTAATAAATTAGAATATTTCATTATGAAGCTTATTACGCCTGACGATAACAGACAGTTTGTAATTTCAGTTTTATTACGTGTCCAATGCCACAAAAACCATTTCAGAAGAAAAATAAATATGATACCAAGATTTTTTTAACAACTTTTACGCATAAAGATAGAATTACATGCAGACAATTGCTAAAGTACAATCAATAATGTGGATATTGAAATACACGATAAGATTCAGCTACAAAATATCAATTCTCCTTGAAGCGTGTTTTTTTATGTGCAACCGGAGACTGATTGACTCGGGCAACTTTACACCCTATGGGCATTAGCGATATTGTCACACGAGATACATGTTCAAATGAGTTCACATCACGCTTTTACTTACGCCCTCTGTTGTTCATTTCATTAAATGTGTTTTCACACAGTTATTTTAGCACTCTGTGGACCAAAGGAAACTTATCTTTATGAAATTATGTATTTACCACTTAACACAAACACCCACGTTTCAACAAAGGATAACACCGTGTTCTACACTAGAATGTGGGAACAAGTGTCTATAAATATACATTACATTACAATCACTTCTTTGTGTAGAGAGCTCGAGAATTACTGAATTTTAGTTGGATTTGATTTCACAAAGAAATGAAGTTACGTAATACAAGCTAACCAAGGCCACAAGAATAAAAAATCTATACAAATAACACCAAATAAGCTCATTAGTAATATCAGAAGTGTGTAAATACTGAAAGAGCAGATTGGGAAGTTAATGAATAACTAGTATTTTACATTATATTCAATCTCTAAAACATACCCGAGTAAAACCGTCGATATTGTGTTTGTGTGTATTTACAGAATTTTTCCGAACGCTACAGTTTCAGGGACCACTTTTAAAGATATACCTTGCAGAGGTTGCCGGTACATAGATCATCACTGAATGTTGAAGTGGAGACATTTCAACATATGTGGAGGGGAGGGGGTGTAGTGGTGTAGCTGAACTAGAGGAACTTGGCCACCTGGAATTGGGGGTCTGTTGAATATAGCAGTAGTTGTCTGTCTCGTAGATCTGGTCAAAGGATGACAAAAGGGGCTCCGTACCCTGAACTGGAGAAACTTGGCTACTTGGAGAAATAGGTGGCTTTGGAACTTGCCAATAGTTGTCCGTCACATAGGTCTAGTCAAAGTTTGACAAAAGGCTGCCCTCTGGAGTGTCTTATTTTAGATAGTCCATACCAGTACTTACTTCCTCAATTGGCAGAACAGCTAGATTGTCCAGCATACACAGAGCAGTTTCACATCATCAATGTCTTTGTACAAGGTTATCAGTCCAAGTTCATGTACTTTACACCAAGTTGACCAGTCCCAGCTGCTGCACTTTATGCGAAAATGACTATGCCATGATAGAAACAACCTCTAACACTAATATAAGGTCCCAACATAAATGTTACAGCTTGGTGAATAACATCGTGTCAATGAGAATTGAGGAAGGATCAGGATTTAAGGAGTAGTAACTACACTTGCCAAGCACAGCATGCACCATTTCTTCACAAGTGTTATGTGTCTTGCACTGAAGAAGGTATACACAATAGATACTGTTGTTTCTTCAAAAGACATTCATGTCACATACATCTGCATAAACAGTGATAGAGCCATGTTAAAGTTTCCATCCATCAGCTAGGTATCATAAACAGTGATGGAGCCACGTTCAAGTTTCCATACATCAGCTAGGTATCATAAACAGTGATGGAGCCATGTTAAAGTTTCCATCCATCAGCTAGGTATCATAAACAGTGATAGACCCATGTTAAAGTTTCCATCCATCAGCTAGGTATCATAAACAGTGATAGAGCCATGTTAAAGTTTCCATCCATCAGCTAGGTATCATAAACAGTGATGGAGCCATGTTCAAGTTTCCATCCACCAGCTTGGTATCATAAACAGTGATGGAGCCATGTTCAAGTTTCCATACATCAGCTAGGTATCATAAACAGTGATGGAGCCATGTTCAAGTTTCCATACATCAGCTAGGTATCATAAACAGTGATAGAGCCATGTTAAAGTTTCCATCCATCAGCTAGGTATCATAAACAGTGATGGAGCCATGTTCAAGTTTCCATCCATCAGCTAGGTATCATAAACAGTGATGGAGCCATGTTCAAGTTTCCATACATCAGCTAGGTATCTGATCTGGCTATTAGACGCAAACATTGTTCAGTTGCAAACACAACGACTCCACTGTCAGTGTCAAGACCACTGGCGTAGACGTGGAATGACTGAAGCAATGGTCCACCTGCTTTTATCCATTAAATGTCAATGATGAGTTCATGTAGTATGTTGGGGCCTGTGGCCAAGTTTTCACTTTGATGTATATGGCTAAGTCGTTTGTAGGAATATTGAGAGACGAGTCGTGTGTGGGTTTCTGTCACTATACTATCAGTTGTCTGGTGTATATAAATACACACACCTGTCCAAGCTTGTCTTTTGCATTTAGCTGACTGCGCATCCTGGTAATCAGGATCGTGGTTGTGTGCTATCTCCTATCATGAGTTCGTGGTTGTGAGGGTAGTTTTGCATGAGGTGGTACGTTTCACACATCTCCAGTGGGTGGTTTGGTCATGACAAATTTGCTTGGTATACATGAATAAATTTAAACGTAAGTTCTGGCCACTTTTGTTGATCTAGATGTTGCACGCAAATGTATGTTTAATATTGAAAAGACACCAAAGGCAGCAAATAGTTTGAAATTTAGTGTAGATGCTAGGGATATTCATCTAGTTATATCTATTATAAAGATAAAGAAGCAATAAAACTTAAGGCCCTTAATATCTATATACAATTTTGTGAATACATCTTTTAAGTATATATTGATTAAAACTAAAAATCTATCAATGTGCTTTCAGAAGAAAATACAATTACAAATAATCAAAAAATCATGCTGCCTTCCAAATCTTTGTTTACTAATGGTTTTAAATTTTCTACTACCTATTGTTTAAGAAAGGCTCCTTATATTTGGTGCCTTTAATAACTACCCTGTCTCTTGTGCCATTTTATCAGGGTATCAAACAAGACTTTGTGTTGACTTTTGAAAAATCAATGAATTTAGTCATGTTTTAAACAGAACTGAATGCAAATAGACTTTTTTGTGTTGGGAGGATATACCGTGAACAGCTTTGAAAATCTTTATACAATTCGCTACTTGTACACAAAAGAGTCTTAATTTCACTAAAAAAAGATTAGCAGGAAGTGGAGTAAACACACAAACAACATCAACTCTTCCGAGTTAAAGCAGGAAAAAATCGTATTTCAGGAAAGTATTCAAGTATCTTTTTTCAATCATTTTGAAGCCGTAAATTCAAAACATGTCATCAAGGTAAGACAAGTTTTAAGTTATTCTATAAATAAGACTTGGCTAAATCTTTCATGAATAATTCTGTCGGTAGTTTTTTGGTTTGTATATCGTGGTAATTTTGAAACATACTTTATACATTGATTACACGGAGTAAAACTATTAGCAGCAATAAACACAATGTCACAGCATGCGACGAGTTCAAGTATAAAACATTAAGTCACATGTGTTTGCCACCCACTCTTCAATATGAGGCTTAAGTTGTAGTTTACTAGAATTGGAATTTCCTTCCTGAACAGCACTTGTTTTACAAACAGGGGATAACGGTCAGATCAGAAATCTTTGGGGTTTGGTATAGCTATTCCTACTTTTCAACTACTGATTAGAGAGAGGACAGCCGATCAGAAACACCCACTGCCACAAGGGTTTTTTGGGGCTCTGTGAACCAAGTAGTGTGATTGACTATTACTTTTATAACACGCTCACTGATGAATGAGCGGATCGTGTTCATCGGCATCACGTCTCGATCCGCAACCTGTCAAATTAAACACTAGGCCACGCTCATAGTTTACTGAAAGTTCATTACCGTCATCCAATCGTATCGTATAATTAAGCAGTCTGCTTGTAATCGAAAAGATGGTTAAGACAGCCATATGGTCGTGAAGTTTCATATAATCATCAAGTACGTCAATTCCCGAAATTCAAATAGCAGTTTCTGTAAGACACACACTTCTAGTCGGGCCAGATTAACACGTATGAATAAAAATCGCGGTAGACTATTTTTCATGTAGAATGACGTCGTTATCAGGAGTGTCACTTCACGAAAGGCTTGGGGAAAGGCAAAGAAGGCTGATTGACCTCGTGTAGGCCCACCAAATTAGTTGGGGGCCCACGTTATTTACAAAGTATAACATGTCTTTTTGAATATTGTATTCGGTGCCGTAATAACCACACAAACTTAGAACAGTGCATTACAATTCTACATGGATACGCTGTTTGATTAGAGACAATGGACAGTCGATCTTATGATGGGTGGACTGAGACTGGTTGGACTTCTTAACAATGAAGATTCTTGGCTCTGTGATGACAACGAGGACATCAATCGTACAAGCTCTATTAATCACAGTGTAACTACAACTTGTATATTATACAGCCAATGCCATGAGCTATTCAAAAGAACACAATATCACGTATACACAGCAAATAATTATTATTAAAGAGAACTGGTAACTAGTTTTAACTACATGGGCTCGTTTTATAAAAATTTAATGAATTCTGTCACGAGTTTTAGTTCGGCCATCTTGAATTCATGTGATTATTCGTTAAACAAATACATATTTATTGAAATAAAAACTTAATATTGCTTTAGAATACGAGTATAATAACTAGAGGAAGTATTAAGAATTGTAATTCTTTTGACGAGGATGAAATTGAAAATAGTGGTGATGTTGATTACGCTGATGAAGCAGGAAAATATTCATACAATGTGATATAAACGAAGATCAAGAAGATGAGGACGCTGAAGA